GAGCGACAGGCCCTTCGTTGCAATTCCGGTCACAATGACTAGAGTAGTAGACAGTCAACCATATCCTAGTTGACTGGAGGTCTTTTAATCTTGAAATGAGAGACAATTCCTTGAAAAATAAATCCATAAAAAAATATGGATAGATTGTAAGTTATAATAGGGAAAAATAGTTCTTCATCTAAGGCATGTGCTATGTAGCCTTGCATGCTTCTCTGTGCCCAGCAATCCCTTGGTGGAAACTGGGCTTTTTTTTTTTTGCCCTCTCTGCTTGTCAGAGGGGGTGAAGCATCAGCTTTTATTAATTTGTTTTAATTTATTGTAATTATTATTTTTTTATATAAGGGATATCCCCTAATTCTTATACAGCACTGGATGGTCTATTGGTTCCAGTACAGTGGTTCCTCGGTTAACGAAGGGTTCGGTTAATGAAATTTCGGTTAACGAATTACCTTCGATAAGAATTTTCAATTCGGTTAACGAACAAAAATTTGAGTAACGAAATCCTTACGAACATCACGTTTTGTTGTGAGCGTCAGCTGATGGGCTAGTTTGTCAATTCAGTAATCTGTTCTATGTTTATATTCGTTTCCAGTGGAGGAAATGTCAAGAAAATTTTGCTCTTTAATATTTGTACAAAATGAATACTAAAATTTTAGTCTACTGCACACTATTGCATGTTTACATTCAAATTAATCACTCTCTTATAAGAATTCCAGCAATGTGAGTTATATTCTCCCCGGTCACTTCTATGAAATTTTATAAGCAAAAACCAAAAACTCAATCTAAACAACATAAATAAACAAATATATACTTCACTAGACCTTCGGCGCTAACTGTCAAACATGTCACTGTCACCCCTCCCTCCCTCCCTCTCCCCCTTCCCAGCAAAGGTTTGATGGTTATACAGTACGCTTTAAGTTTTTATCTTATATAATATCAAAGACTAAAGTTAGGAGAATATAATTTGCATTGCTGGAATCCTTGCAAGACAGCGAATAATTTGAATATAAACGTCATATATTTTGCACAAGAGATAAATATTGTAGTACATTAATGTACGGTAGTACATTTTATGATGTAAAGTTTTTCAACTGTATTTTTAGGTAGATTTACATAAATTTCTTCATTTATTTTCATCCATTTACATGCACACACCATACTAAAAGAAACGTAAAAGAAATAAATGACCTTAGTACAAACCTGGAGTATACATGTACAGTTGTACCCCACTTAACGCGGTCAATAAAACCCAGAGGGTACCGTGTTAAGTGAAAACCGCGTTCAGTGAACAACAGAACATATGGGATTAATTCCAATAGAAACCGGCCCGACCCCCAAACTCCACTTTTTGACGACACATAACTATGTTGTAGTAAAAACTTTATCTTAACTTTATGATGGTATGAAAAAACAAGTAATATAGAAGAGGTTAGGTTAGGAAAAATAAAGGTTAACATAGGAAAAATAAAGGTTAGGTTAGAGAAACTAAAAGTTAGGTGGAACACTTATGGTAGTAGAAGAGATGGGTCGGCGTACGGGGATGGAGGCTGGTTCCGAGGCAGAGGGCAGGCTACTGGCCCTCAGGTGAGTCACTATCACTGTCATCCACACTTGTCAGGGCCTCCCTGACAAATCCCTCAAAGTCATCTTCACTGTCTCTACCTCTGTCACTATCACTGGCTTGGGCTGGCTGTGTTGGGTTGCGGGCGAAGAACTCGGTTATGCTTTTTTGACGGCTGGTGTTTATGTTGTCTTGGTACACCGTGATGTACGGCTCCATAGCCTGCACCAGCCGGATATGGAAGACTTCATAGCGGTCATCGTCATTGTCGTGGGAAAGGACGGACTTCATTTTCTCTGCACACTATGGCACACTTAATATCACTATGACTTAAACTGTGTTCTTCGGAGAATGACGCACCTTCTTCCTCCTCTTCACTGACGTGATCTTCTTCCAACTTCTCGTCGGCAGTCACTTCAGGATCTCTGATCACCTCCAGGATGTCTTCGTTGGTGGTCTCGGAGAAGCCTTCAGCTGTAATATTGAGCGCAGCTTCTCTGGCAAGGTCCACTGCTACTGCAACAGTCTGAACCTCACCAGTCACAGGTTTACTCGTCTTCTCAGCTGGTATGCCATGCAACACATGTCTCCATGCGTGACGAATCGTAGCAATAGTCAGCAGATCCCATGCCTCCACCAAGAAGTCTACAGCTTGTTTAACGTTAAACTTCTTCCAAAATTGTTTGACGAGAAGTTCTTGAGTCGCCACCTCTTGTTCCTTGTCCTCGTCGCTTTTGCTCTCGCTGTCGGTGTCACCCAGCATACGCAACTCATCCTTGGTGTTGGTAGAGTCGTTCAGGAGCTTGAACTTCTTTGCAGAGTACGCAGCTTTCACATTGCAAATCAACTCCTGGTCCATGGGCATGCGTAGTGTTGGGAGGAAGGAAGACCACTTTTACGTTGGGGTGACGATCCATAAGTAGGGGCGAGTGTCCAGGTGCGTTGTCAAGGAGCAACAAAATATTGAATGGAACATTCTGTTGCTCGCAGAATTTCTTCACGTCAGGAACAAAACAGTTGTCAAACCAGAAGAGGGACAGAGAAGAGGACATCCACGCCTTACGTGCGGTTAGCCAGTGGACATTAAGCTTGTTCATGTCCATATTCTTGTAGGCGTGCGGCTTGCGGGCTGTGTGAATCACCGATAACTTTGGTTTACAGGTACCGGAGGCAGGCATTGGTGGTAAACAGGACGGTGATGCGTTCCTTCTGCAACTTCCGACCCCTTACCTTGCTGGCAGACTGGACAACGAAGGTCTTGGAAGGTAGCTTTTTCCAGAAAAGACCAGATTCGTCCATGTTAAACACCTGGTCGTCAGTGTACTGTCCTTCCTCCATAATCTCACGTAAGAACGGAGGAAAATCTCTAGCCGCCACACGGTCAGCACTCGCTTCCTCACCACCAATGTTGATGTTGGTGATCTTGTTCCTCTTCTTAAACCTATGCAGCCAACCAGAGGAAGCATTGAAGGGTTTGGGCTCTGCAATTCCCAGCTTACGTGACACTGCTGCGTATAGCTCACGTGCGTACTCCTGCACTGAGCGCGTGTCCACCGCCATGTTGCGTCGCGCCTGACGAATCAAATAACTCACCAGCAAATTTTCCACTTTTGCCAGCACCCTGTTCTGGCAATACCTGATAGATGAAGCACCTGCAGACTTTGTGATTTTCATGTGCTCTTTGATCTTGGCTGCATCCTTCTTGTTCGTGCGAATCGTAGATTCGTTGACGCCATGCTGGCGCGCGAGATCAACTTGCCGTGTTCCTTTCTCCAAATCTTGAATAATTTGGTACTTCACCTCGTAGCTTAAGGAACGTCGTGTCTTCTTTGGCTTAGTGCCGCTGGGTCCAGGTAAGGAAAGGTCTCTCTCTGGTGGCGGTGGTGGTCCGGCGGAAGCCATTTTACGGAACAATGGATGCGCGTTTACATGGTGTGGCCTTGAGGGATGAAACTGCCACGGCTAGGTCAAGCGTCGTCTTTCCTCCCTCCCTCCCTCCCCCGGGTGGACACGTCATAATACTTTAAGCCAATTACAGCTAGCAGCAGAGGGGGGTAGGGATGCATGGCCAATCACAGGTCTGATACGTCATATGACGTCAGTGATAACGCAACAAAGACACACACTGCGCAACCTTACCGCGCCGCTTGCCCAAGCGGAGGAAGGAGGAGGGAGAGGCGAGGAGCACAGGCAGGCAGGCGGGCGGGTGGCGGGTGGGGCGAATCTAAAAATAGCGTCGCGCCGGACACTCTCCGCGTATATGTGGAAAAAATCCGTGTTAAGTGAAAGTTCAGCTCTGGCGAGGCACATTATACGGTAAGCAGCTAAGTGAAACGCGTTAGGCGGGGAGTAATACTGTACTGTACTAAATCATTACGGTACTAAAATTTTTATGTCTAGTGCAAATTATAGCTTGTTTATATTCGAATTAATCACTATCTTACAAGAATCCTAGCAATGTAAATTATATTCTCCCAAGTCATTTCACTGGCATTTTATAAGAGAAAAGCTTAGTCACTTAAGGACTGTTAAATAAATACACATGAGACCTTCGGCTCCAACTGTCAAACATACCACCTCACCTCCTGCCCCCTCCCTCTCCCCCATCTGCCCAGCCAGGGTTTTAGGCTTACAGTTTTTATCTTATATAATATCTCAGACTAAAGTTAGGAGAATATAATTTGCATTGCTGGAATCCTTGCAAGACAGCGAATAATTTGAATATAGGGTAAACATCATATATTTTGCACAAGAGATAAAAATAATCACCTGTAACACATTACAATAGTGATTTAAGAGTAAGAGTGTATATGTACGTATATATACTGTGATTTATGGGGGATTTAGGGGAATTTTAGGAGTGTTTCTGACTTTATGTATTTTTGGTTTTACTGTACTTTGTATTTACTTTTCTGTGAGCTGGAACCAATTACCCAATAAATATCCCATTGAAATAATGGATTCGGTTAACGAACGACCCTGTGGAACGAATTGTGTTCGTTAACCGAGGGACCACTGTACTTGTCTTTGAGACTAAATTCTATAAATCAATCAATTATAGATACAAACAGACAGCCCAGCACGCTAGGAAGACAGGTTCTCTGTAACATGGGTTTAGGTGAGGTAATGACCTAGGAGTTAGGGAGTTATGTGCACTGTGGTTTCATGTCATGTAGTGTGTCGGCATTATTTTTATTTATTTTTTTCCTAAGGCCTCCAGTAATAGATCACTCATGCTAACTGACAAGTGTCACTGGCTCCATGCCATTGGGCTTTTTTTTATCACATAGCTTCCAACAATTCAAAAAAATTTTGTAAATGTTTTCAGGTTTTATCAATGGGACACTTCAATAAATAGCTTTTACAGCAACACTTACCTGATCCTTGCCTGTACAATACTATTTATCTGCTTAAAATTTTGTATTTACATTTTTTCCAGGTTATGTTGATGCTGCCATGAAAACTTGTCTGCACTTGAGGGAATATGATGGGCTTCTAGACCCAGAAGATATCTATGCTCTTCTGGCTTTGGCCTCTTGTGCTAACAGGGCCTTTGCAACATGTTCACGAGCATTTATAAAGCTGGAGGCTTTACCTGAGGTAACACTTTAACCCTTTCACTGTGGCTGGTAAGTACAGTGCATGGCTTCTAGAATTTTTCCATTCACTACCACTAGTAAATACAGGCAGTCCCCAATTTGCAATATATGAAGACCTGGTTAAAAAATTCCGAAGGTACGTACTAGAAAAATGGTCCCATGCTTAGATAACCAATACAGGACTTATAAATATCTTCTTTTTTTTTTCTTTTTTTTAGCATCAAAAGATGGTGAGGTGCTGAAAGAGGCATTTCAGGGCTTCCCTTACTGGAATTGATCAGTTTCTAAGCAGTCATGTGAAGCATTATCAAGACCTGCTGCTATTATTATTATTATTATTATTTTGGTGTTATTTGGAATTGAGTATGACGATCATCCAGCTATGATAAAATAATAAGAGTTATTAGGGATGTCACCTAGGTTGGTGAGCTTTGAGAAGACTAAAGAGGCCAATATGGGACCTGCAGGATCGTCCACATTCGTTGCACATCTAGAGGGCTGCATCTAGTGCAGCAGGGGTGGTGGCAGTGTCTTTCTGGCATTGGTGCTTGTCTGCCTCAGTTTGTAGTTGGGCTAACTCAAAAGTATTGACACCTTCTCATGTGGTGCTCCTCCAAGCATTACAATGTGGAGTAATTGACTCCCAGGTGAGGGGATTGATTTGGCACTTTTTCAGGTTTGTCATAAGACTATCCTTATACCTTTTTAATTGCCTGCCTGCGTTACATTTACCGTATATCTCGGCTTATAAGACGGAATTTGAACATTAAAAAAATCTGCCCAAAGTTAGGGGGTCGTCTAAACCACCAAGTATAAAATTCTTACCTCTTAAATATTGTGGTTTAGTTTGTCAAGAGTGGTGATGGAAACATCTTAAGCCACTCACAAGGTCTTACCACTAATTATTTTATACTGAAACTTACGTTTGGCAAGCTGGATTCAAATTAAGATTACCGGTATATTAAAATAATAAAAATGTATTATAAACCTGTCTAACATACCGTAAAAGAGAATTATACCCCTGTAATAAACACGGCTATCATCACACGCCCCCCCCCATTTGCCAGTGAGGAGACAAGAAAGGAAAAGTGACCGCGAGATTGGGCTATTTTTAGCCGTGGAGGTGGTCAGTAATGCATATCGGTATATTTACTGATAATAATACTTAAAATTTATTTTTTTACAAGGAATATTCAGTAAATGACTGCATTAATTCTTGAAACTACTGACAGTTAAATACAGACGCTTAAGTGACGTCACTAGTGTTTACACTACACCAGCTGGTAACATTTGATGCCATTACTTGAAGTGAATTGGCCTTATTTAAAGTAACTCACCATAAATAAATACAAAAAAGTAAAAAAAAGATCAAAAGTGAGAAATAATATACTGTATGTATGTTGTGTTGTCAAAGTTAGAGGAACAATTCAAACTGCAATTGTGTGTAAATGAGGCAGAAAGTCAGGTCAGCGCTGAACCTGGGACTTGGTCACAATTTTCGTGATGCCATATGGCAGCAGGGTCTACCATTAGACAACACATTATGCTTCCAATATCTTCCCAGGCGGTAGTACCTACCTGTTTGGTAGCTGCCTACTACCTACACAATTTTTAGTAATATTACTTTGATACATGATAAATTAGACAATGAAAATAAACATCAAATTTAATTACCAAGACGCTTCCCATTGGCAGCTGTAAGAAGAGGGGGAGATGGGCTATTTTTATCCCGTCTTTGTGTCTGAAGTGGCCAGTAATACCATATATTTACTGATCATAATACTTACGGTATCTCCTATAAATAATTAATTTAAAATTTATTTTTTACATAGAATATTCAGTAAATGACTTTTAAATAAATAAACAAATAATTCGGTAAATCTATTTCAAGTAAATGGAAAATAAGCAAACAAATGTTATTTACCACCACCCCTTCCCTCTGGCTCAGGGTGAGATGGAGGGGAGATAAAGAAGGCTATTTATAGCCCGTCTTGTGTCTGAAGTGGCCAGTACGCTAATGCACCATAAATAATTCATTTAACATTTATTTTTTGTACATATATTTTGTTATATACATACATACATATACATATATATATACATATACATATACATATATATATACATATACATATACATATATATATATATATATATATATATATATATATATATATATACTATATATATATATATATATATATATATATATATATATATATATATATATATATATATATATATATATATATATATATTATATATCTATATGTATGTATGTATGTAATAATAATAATAATAATAATAATAATAATAATAATAATAATTAACGGTTTATTGAAAAAGTTTGCAGCCCGAAGGCTGAAAATACACATTGGACATAAATGACTTATTACATACATTGGTGGTTTAACAAAAGCCTTCATTAGAGAAAGGTAAAGGAACATACAGTGAACATTCAGATTAATGTAGGTGTTGAACAGCAAACACGTAGTGTAGTAACTCTCTCCCAGATGGTGTTAGGAGGGACCTAATGTGGTGTAGTAATTCCCTCACAGATGGTGTTATGAGGGGCATCACGTGGTGTAGTAATTCCCTCACAGATGGTGTTATGAGGGACCTCACGTGGTGTAGTAATTCCCTCACAGATGGTGTTATATGAGTGAGGTGTGGCCCCAGGCCTTCCTATCGTAGACGGATTAACACATCGCCGGTTGTTGGGTCTCACGGGCCGTTATCACTGGGCACCTGGGACCTCACTGTGTGAAGGTTAACTTGAATACGACTTTTACTGTTGAGTTGTTCTCACTGACTCAAGCACTGTTCACCAATGTTCACCTCTGTTTAACACTGGTTCCATTCCTTTCCCAAATGAAATTGCAACTTCTGGCGAGAACCTGTTGATACTCCAGTGGGGAGAAGTGGTTCAGGGGAGGGGGTTGGTATGGGCCAACTTAACAGTTGACCTGGCTGCTCCGGGAGGAGCGCCAGGTACGTCTTGACCCTTCGGTGGTCAAGGATGTATGTATGTATGTATGTATGTATGTATGTATGTATGTATGTATGTATGTATATATATATATATATATATATATATATATATATATATATATATATATATATATATATATATATATATATATATATATATATATATATATATATATATATATATATATATATATATATATATATATATATATATATATATATATATATATATATATATATATATATATACACATATATGCTGATAACCACAAGGAAAGAAGAAAACACGAAGTTCCCAAGCGCTTTCGTGTAATTCACATCTTCAGGGCTGAGTACAGACTAGAGAGAGTAATACAAATCAAGTTGTATATATACAGAGGAGGGTGAGACCAGGTCCACAATGGTCAGGTATTAGGTAATGACCCTACTAATCTTTAAATAGCACACAACGGTTGGTGGTCAGGTCAGATGGTCAAGTGACCCGGCCTTCTCACCTGATCACAAATCTTCTTAATTACAAAATTGTCCAGCTTGTACATGCCATTACTCAAATTCATGTTGAATGCTTCGGTATGTTTAATAAGACTAGATTCTATGATGTTCCTACTGTCAATTGACTTACATGGTAAAATTGAGGAGGCATTATCCCAGTCAATGCAATGCTTGTTATCCCTCAAATGAACAAACAGAGCATTTGATTCCTGGCCTGTCCTAACACTGTATTTGTGTTGTTTAATTCTAGTTGCAAGATCTTTACCTGTCTGGCCTAAGTAAAACATATTACATTCCTTGCAAGGAACTTTATAAATGCAACCAATTGTGTTGTTGGAGGAGTTCTTGATTAACATTTGTTTAACAGTGCATGAGATTTAAATGCCACATTGACGTTCCAGGTTTTTAGCTGTGCAGGAATGTGTGAGAAATTTTTGTGAAATGGTAATATTAAGATATTCTTATGGTCATGGGTGGGCTTGGGGTCAGTTCTATAAAAAGTTTTCTTAGTAATGTTTAAGCATTTGTCTATGAAAGATCTAGGGTATTTAAGGTTTGAGCCAATATTATATATATATTTGTATTCCTCATCGATGAATTCCGGACTGCAAATTCTCAAGGCACGTAAAAACATTGTTGAAAATACTGACTGTTTGACTGTATTATGGTGGGCAGAATAATAATGAATGTATGAACACACATTAGTTGGTTTTCTATAAATACTGAACTTAAAAGTGTTACCTATTCTGTGTATCAGACAGTCTAGGAATGGCAATTTACAGTCTTGCTCTAATTCCACAGTGAATTTGATGGGGGGCTAAGTTGTTAAGTTGTGGTAGGAAAGCTTTTAGGTCCTCATTACATGGCCAGAGACATAATACATCATCAACATATCTAAACCAGACTGCTGAGGGTGGTAAAATATTACTAATAGTTTTTTCAAAAGAATTCCATATATAGGTTGCTTAATACAGGTGAGTGGATTACCCATTGCCATACCAAATTTTTGAGCATAATATTCCCCATTGAATTCGAATTTGCAATCCTTAATACATAGTTTGATGAGTTCGATAAGTAGTCTTTCATATATATATATACAATTTATTACCCTTAAGGTCAATTGAACCCAGAGGGTTAGCGTTAAGTGAAACCGCGTTAAGTGAATAACAAGACATATGGGATTAATTCCAATAGAACCCAACCCCGACCAAACTCCACTTTTGACGACAAATAACTATGTTGTAGTAAAAATAACATCTTAATTTTATGATGGTACATGCACACAATTAATACTTAAAATAGAAATACAGTCGCCAAGTTAATGTCCATTCAAATAATGGACTCAACTCCTCCCCTCTCACACTGCTTTGGGAAACCACTAAATTTTAATAAATAATACCTCAAACAAAGTTAGGATAATACAATTGACATTGCTGGATTCCTTGTAAGACCAGGAATATTTTGAATATAAATGTCATATATTTTTCACAAAAATAACATAATTACCTAGAGAACAAT